CTGCTAGTTCTGCCTCCCTGCTAGTTCTGCCTCCCTGCTAGTTCTGCCTCCCTGCTAGTTCTCCCTCCCTGCTAGTTCTGCCTCCCTGCTAGTTCTGCCTCCCTGCTAGTTCTGCCTCCCTGCTAGTTCTCCCTCCCTGCTAGTTCTCCCTCCCTGCTAGTTCTGCCTCCCTGCTAGTTCTCCCTCCCTGCTAGTTCTGCCTCCCTGCTAGTTCTGCCTCCCTGCTAGTTCTGCCTCCCTGCTAGTTCTCCCTCCCTGCTAGCCCTCCCTCTAGTTCTCCCTCCCTGCTAGTTCTCCCTCCCTGCTAGTTCTCCCTCCCTGCTAGTTCTCCCTCCCTGCTAGTTCTGCCTCCCTGCTAGTTCTCCCTCCCTGCTAGTTCTCCCTCCCTGCTAGTTCCCCCTCCCTGCTAGTTTTCTGCCTCCCTGCTAGTTCTGCCCTCCCTGCTAGTTCTCCCTCCCTGCTAGTTCTCCCTCCCTGCTAGTTCTCCCTCCCCTGCTAGTTCTGCCTCCTCCCTGCTAGTTCTCCCTCCCTGCTAGTTCTCCCTCCCTGCTAGTTCTCCCTCCCTGCTAGTTCTCCCTCCCTGCTAGTTCTGCCTCCCTGCTAGTTCTCCCTCCCTGCTAGTTCTCCCTCCCTGCTAGTTCTCCCTCCCTGCTAGTTCTGCCTCCCTGCTAGTTCTCCCTCCCTGCTAGTTCTCCCTCCCTGCTAGTTCTCCCTCCCTGCTAGTTCTGCCTCCCTGCTAGTTCTCCCTCCCTGCTAGTTCTGCCTCCCTGCTAGTTCTCCCTCCCTGCTAGTTCTCCCTCCCTGCTAGTTCTCCCTCCCTGCTAGTTCTGCCTCCCTGCTAGTTCTCCCTCCCTGCTAGTTCTCCCTCCCTGCTAGTTCCCCCTCCCTGCTAGTTCTCCCTCCCTGCTAGTTCTCCCTCCCTGCTAGTTCTCCCTCCCTGCTAGTTCTCCCTCCCTGCTAGTTCTGCCTCCCTGCTAGTTCTGCCTCCCTGCTAGTTCTCCCTCCCTGCTAGTTCTGCCTCCCTGCTAGTTCTCCCTCCCTGCTAGTTCTCCCTCCCTGCTAGTTCTCCTCCCTCCCTGCTAGTTCTCCTCCCTCCCTGCTAGTTCTCCTCCCTCCCTGCTAGTTCTCCTCCCTCCCTGCTAGTTCTCCTCCCTCCCTGCTAGTTCTCCTCCCTCCCTGCTAGTTCTCCTCCCTCCCTGCTAGTTCTCCCTCCCTGCTAGTTCTCCTCCCTCCCTGCTAGTTCTCCTCCCTCCCTGCTAGTTCTCCCTCCCTGCTAGTTCTGCCTCCCTGCTAGTTCTGCCTCCCTGCTAGTTCTGCCTCCCTGCTAGTTCTCCCTCCCTGCTAGTTCTGCCTCCCTGCTAGTTCTGCCTCCCTGCTAGTTCTCCCTGCTAGTTCTGTCTCCCTGCTAGTTCTGCCTCCCTGCTAGTTCTGCCTCCCTGCTAGTTCTGCCTCCCCTGCTAGTTCTGCCTCCCTGCTAGTTCTGCCTCCCTGCTAGTTCTCCCTCCCTGCTAGTTCTCCCTCCCTGCTAGTTCTCCCTCCCTGCTAGATCCCCCTCCCTGCTAGTTCCCCCTCCCTGCTAGTTCTCCCTCCCTGCTAGTTCTCCCTCCCTGCTAGTTCCCCCTCCCTGCTAGTTCTCCCTCCCTGCTAGTTCCCCCTCCCTACTAGTTCTCCCTCCCTGCTAGTTCTGCCTCAATGCTAGTTCCCCCTCCCTGCTAGTTCCCCCTCCCTGCTAGTTCTCCCTCCCTGCTAGTTCTCCCTCCCTGCTAGTTCTCCCTCCCTGCTAGTTCTCCCTCCCTGCTAGTTCTGCCTCCCTGCTAGTTCTCCCTCCCTGCTAGTTCTCCCTCCCTGCTAGTTCTCCCTCCCTGCTAGTTCTCCCTCCCTGCTAGTTCCCCCTCCCTGCTAGTTCTCCCTCCCTGCTAGTTCTCCCTCCCTGCTAGTTCTCCCACCCTGCTAGTTCTGCCTCCCTGCTAGTTCTCCCTGCTAGTTTCCCCCTCCCTGCTAGTTCTCCCTCCCTGCTAGTTCTCCCTCCCTGCTAGTTCCCCCTCCCTGCTAGTTCCCCCTCCCTGCTAGTTCCCCCTCCCTGCTAGTTCTCCCTCCCTGCTAGTTCTCCCTCCTGCTAGTTCTCCCTCCCTGCTAGTTCCCCCCTCCCTGCTAGTTCCCCCTCCCTGCTAGTTCTCCCTCCCTGCTAGTTTCTCCCTCCCTGCTAGTTCTCCCTCCCTGCTAGTTCCCCCTCCCTGCTAGTTCCCCCTCCCTGCTAGTTCTCCCTCCCTGCTAGTTTCCCTCTCCCTCCCTGCTAGTTCTCCCTCCCTGCTAGTTCTCCCTCCCTGCTAGTTCTCCCTCCCTGCTAGTTCTCCCTCCCTGCTAGTTCTCCCTCCCTGCTAGTTCTCCCTCCCTGCTAGTTCCCCCTCCCTGCTAGTTCTCCCTCCCTGCTAGTTCCCCCTCCCTGCTAGTTCTCCCTCCCTGCTAGTTCTCCCTCCCTGCTAGTTCTCCCTCTTCTCTG